GAAATCCAGATATCTGTTAAAATAATGAGAAGAGTCTGAAGGTTTCCCACATAATGGAAATGAAACACTAAGTACCCTGATTTGATCATTACACATTGCATATGTATCGAATTACCATGCTGTACACCAAAAGTATGTTCTAGTACTTTGCATCGATAGATGAATTTTGTAGCGGGAAAGTAAATGGATGTTTGGGTCTACATCTTGGGTACTGCTAAATGTTGATGCAGTGTGTGTGTGTGTGTGTGTGTGTGTGTGTGTGTGTGTGTGTGTGTGTGTGTGTGTGTGTGTGTGTGCGCGCATGCGTGCATGCACGCACTTTCATGAGATATTATGTTTTCCACAGGGCCCTGGGAAAACAATGGCAGGGATTGACTGCTCAGGGACAGGCGACACTGACTCAGCCTTGACACACTTGTCATGAATGCTGACTTAAGAGCTGACTCTTTCTCACAATGAGCATGTAGATGTCTAGTGACACCAGAATTGGGCATAGTATAATGGAAAGTGCACTGCCCTTTATAGGCTCAGGAAAACATCAAACTGCCGTACATGAAGGCCTGATGGTTGTGTTGATTTCCTCCAGTGGGTAAAAGGAGGGCTTTCCTCTTTTGTGAGTTTGAGACTTTGTTCTTAACCAGGAGTTGACCTATTTCTGTAACTTTAGAGGAGACCACAATCAGCCACAATTCACCCACACAAAACATTCATGCTCCATTCAGCCTATTTACTGTCTCCGTTACTTCATAGTCTCCCCATTATTTCCCCATTATTTCTCTGTTAGTTCAGATTCTCCCACACATCAGCCCGTGGTTTACAGTTGAAATCTATTTAGAAGACTGGAGAATTAATTATTGAAAGTATGTATTGTATTCCCCAGCCCTACGATTCATAAAATCCATAATTTCCTCTGCATTTTGTTGCTTAGTTTTCTGGACCAGTGGTCAACAATAAGTACAGCACGCTTCGCTGCATCTCTTACTTCAGCAGAAAAGCCAGACGAATGTCCTGTAGGAAGACTCTGCCCTAAAGCTTTCATCTGTAAATCATAACTATTCTGACTGTTCCACTACCCAGAGGGAAAATTCCCTTTATTTATTGTTGTGTTGTTCATCTTGAAAAGTAAAGTAAGAGTTTTGTAACAACACCTAAGACAATGGCCTCAGAGTATCGGTGTGTCTGTGTGAAACAGTGTGCTTCACAGTTATCAATATTTTAGAAAACTGGTCATAGCTAAAGCATATTTGATATAAAGAACAGAAACAGGCAAAATGAAAAGCAAAGAAAGCAACTAAAGATGTGTATCTTAGAAGAAAAAAGCTATAAGGATGATATTAAAGCCATTGTAGAAATATCCAAAGGCAGCCAGGGAATGATCCAGGAAGACAAATATTTCACTGCCTTAACAGACAGAGAAAGGAAAGCTGGATGCAAGTTTAACAAAAATTCTTAGGTATGGGTTGCTTCAGGCCACTGGGGATACAAATAGAAAGGTCCTAGCATAGCCTCACTGTTAAAGGTACTGCCAAGGAGGAAATGAAGGCTTAGACTAATTAAGCTCTTTTGAGTTTTTCTATTCTAATTTTCCATAACTATATGAAATTGTACTCATATTTAAGGATCAGGTTATTCTTTCTCTATTGGTTTTGCTAAAAGGATTGAAGGAAATGTATGATAATTGTGGCATGATAATGACTGGAAATTTAGAGCTAGAAATTCAAGGCTTGAATTCCTTGTCTGTCCCTAGTAACTTGCCATTTAGAATATTAACTTATCCGACTCTCAGTCCTTTAGTAAAAATAATGTTGTTACATGTGTTAAAGTAAGAAGCCTACATTTAATATCACAAAGCCTCAAAATGACCAACCTAATGTGTGAAAGACAGTGTTCCAAGCTAAGAATCAAAGATGAGAGAGAGGAATTGCATTCTAAAAATTCATAAATATTTTATGACACATGGAGAGATAGCCATAATTCAGTATGGAAAATGATCTAATAGAATTAAATTAAAAAGGGATTTAAGAACAAGAAAAGTTTGGGAGGTCAAATTGCTAGAAAGAGTATCCCTCAAAAATCCATAGATCTTGCAAGACAGAGAGATTTCAGGCAATACATGAACACTCTACTAGGAATAGCATGCATATA